CTAAACAGTTCACCCAAAACTTTGCATGGAGACAGAGTGCTTGAGGGTGCTACGGTCAGGCCTAAGTGTGGTATGGGAAACACACACTGTGTTACTCTATAGTGGCTGTATTACCTTATTTTGGGGAGACTGCATGCCCAGAAAAGAAGCCAACTGATGTTGTATGCTTTACAGCTGTATTTTCAGGCGTAGACCAAAGGCAATGTAGAAATACTCAAGGACTTTTTTCTCCAGAGGGGAAGGCAAGGTCGTTGCCTTTTGTAGAAGGCAAGAGGCAACAACCATGGTAAGAGTCAAATATGGATGAAACAAAGACCACTTTGAAAATGTGTCCAACTGTGCTCTTAAGATTTTGGGACCAGACTGAGTTCCAGGGGCCCTTGGTGAAAATCTGTGAAGAGATTTGGGTTTGAAATTATTTTCATCTTCTTTCCAGGAAAGCTTTAACAATATCTTAATTGTGGCACCTACTCTGTGCGTCTACTGTGAGCCTGAATATTGGGGAGAGTCATTACTGATTTATATGAGCATGTCGGGAACTGAATCTGGTGCCCTGTGCCATTTTGTTGCTCTACAGGCTGATCCTCCATCCTTTCAAAGAAATTAAATCTGCTGAGCCTTGTGAATAAATGAATTGGTTTTCATTCTCTCTGTTGACAGTTGCAGCAGAATAAGACAGAAAGTTGCAGGTGTGCCCGGAAAACCTTTCATGCTGTATGCTGTATCTTGTCATCCAAGGTAAATACATGGCTTAATGAAACTTCAAGAGGGAAAAGGTGAGATATTTGCCTTTATGTTCATTACCCTTTAAAGCAGGAATAATATTTGACAAGAAACAAAGAATCAAGCAAACTAGATAATAATCACATGCGGTGAACAAATACTGCTCAGATCCTGGATTAATCAAATGATTTAAGTAATAATATTCCAGGTGATAGAATTTTGGCAGCATGGGTCAGATATACAGGAATAGTTGCACATATTCGGAACCTAGTACAGCACGTAGCTATTTGACCAGCTGTGGGTGGAGGAGTTTTTTTGCAGCCAGGGCAGACAGATCCCCTGCTTCCTTTGCCACATGGCTCCCTACTGCAATGAGTTACTTGCAAGAACAGAATAGCGAGGAGAAGAATTGA